ATGCATGTATATTCAGAATAGCTCAAAGTTTATTCAGAATTATAAAGTTACAAAAAAGCGGTTATTATGCGAAATTTGAACTATTTAATGTATTACTCTGAAAACGGGTAAGCCGGGAGAAAATTTGTTTAGGGAGGTGCACTTTTTTTTAAGACCGCGTAGGGCGCAGAACAATTCAAAACCTAATTTGAACACAGTTTTCTCTATATATCGCCATATAAGTACTGCGTTTATGAAAAGGCCTATTATATTAAACACTACTTATTCACAAATTTTTTTTTCATTAAAATAAAATTAAAACTTAAAACATAAATATTTAATTTTATTTGATTTAGAAAACTAAGACAAAAAATGAACAAAAATTTCAATTTTAAATTTTAATCTCATAAATTTAATAATATGCAAATTCTATTTGGAACACACAATAATGTTAAATAAAAAAAAACAAGAAAAAAATTAGTTAGCTTTCACTTCAAACCTTTTTTTATAGAATTATTATGTTAAATACACATTTATTTATTTTTTAATAAAACATTTAAAATTACATAAAATCAATAATTTATAAACATATATAAAATATATTTTAAAAACTTATTTATACACACACATTGTAATATTAAATTTTAAGGAATTTTAGAAATTACTGTTATATATATATTTTTTTTTTGATAATATTATATTTTAGGAACTATATATAGCAAAAATGTAGTTCATTAAAATATAGGATATAAAATTAATAAAAATTAAAGTTTTGAATATTGTATTGTAGAATGAATTTTATATAGCTAGTTGATTTCTTTTTGAAAAATTTAATATACTTATTATATAATCACTAATAATTATATAGAGTGCGATTCTCATTATAATGTTATACTTATTATATCGGTATATATAAGAATATTATAAAATAATTATTTACTTAATTATTTTTATTTAATATAATATAAAAATATTTTGAAAATAATATAAAATTATAATTTATCAATTAAATTATACACATATTTTACAAAATAATTAATTATTTATATAAATAGAAAATATTTATTTTTTTTAATCTATTTAATTTTATTATTTTCATTTATATTAATATACTACTCATATATATATATACATAAAATATTATAAGTACAATATATATATATTTAATATTTTATAAATAATTTAATAATTTATTATATACTAGTATTTTACGAATTAAAATTTCAAAACCATATAATATTTTATATGTGTTTGAATATATATTTCAAACTCTTGTTTTGAGAATAAAATTAATTTTAAATTTGAGCCATGCTAGCCTGAAAGCTTCGAACTTAAAATGACAAGTGATCATCTCTTAGAGAATATCTGTGATTATGATAAATATAATGTGATTATGTTTGGATAATTTCTGTTATAAATTAGAAATTTTAATTTCAAAATATTCAATATTCTAGAATAACGCATTTGAAAAGCTATATTAAAAGTTAATCACCTTATACTTGTGTTGATTTGATTTTTTTTATTCTCTGTGCAGATACATGCGTTATAACTGCAAAACTACTACGTTTGACTATAATTTACATATAATATTATAATATATGCATTGCATTTATTGACATTGTATTGACATTTATTGTCGACATTAATTTTTTTTATATTCACAACCATGTTAAAATTCAATTATCCAATAAAAGTTCTGCTTGGTATTGATTTTTATTTTTACTTTTGCATATTTTCGTTACTGCCACATACTGGACTTTATATAGTATTGTCATATATCTGCAAAATGGAAGTCAGTGATAGTTATAGTTTCTTATAGTACATACTGAACTTAATTTGAATCAATTAATATTATGCGCGTGTATAATATATACAATGTAAATGATCTTACTTAGTTTTTTTTATTAATATGAAATATATTTCGATTAACATTCCATTTTCTCTTTTTTCGCAATATTATCCAAAAACAAGCAGTATAAAATTCCAAAATATTTCAAATAAACAATATAAATAATAATTATTAGAATAAGAAATAATATATAAATTCTATGTTAAATAAATGTATTATTTATTTAATGTTATTGTAATAGTATAATAAATTAATAATTAATTAATAATATTTAATGTAGTTTTTAATGATACACAGTTTTATAAAATATTTTTTTCTTTAATTTTCATAAAATATATAATAATAGTTTTATTGTCTAATAATATTGTATACAATTATATATTAAAAAATTTATATATGTATAAATTAATTAATATATTCTACACATATTGTTCATATTTCATATTTTAATTTTTTGCTTTGTTTATTCTATTTATTTAATTTTTTATTTATTTATTTTTTTATTACATATATTTAATATTAATTAATTTTATTTTGTCATTTGTTGTTTTATTGATAGGATCATTCTGAATTAAATTTTAGTTTAATAATTAAATATTTTTTTAATTAATAATTAAAGATTTAAAATATTCTGAACTTTATAAAACTACTACTAAATTTTGAACTTTATAGTAAATTACTATATTAATTTGATTATTAATTACTATATTGATTTGATTATTGTATTTTATATTAATTTTTCTATAAACTGCTTTAATCTTCAATATAAATTAATGGTAAAATACAATAATTAAATTGAATTATTTTAAATTTAGTAAAATATAAGATAAACAAGTTGAAGTCTAGCTGATTTTTTAAATTTAAATAAACTAATAATATGCTGGAGCAGTTGCTAAAATTATTCTATAAAAATTTTTCCAATTTTCTGTTCCATTATAAATAAAACAAGAGTATATTATAGTACAAATAATATAAAAACATACAAAAGTATATAATAAAATTTTAATTCTTTGATAATTAAACAACATATTCCAAAACACATAAATGCCCACGAAATGTAAAATTATAAGCCTTTTGACAGATTTATAATATATTATGGCAACAAATAAATATTTGACAATATAATATTCATGTTCATACTCATGTATGTATGTATTAATAGTTGAAATTTATCTGTATTAATTCAGAAGTATTAAATCGAACAAGTAATAAAAATGCCAATTCATGATTTACATATAAATCAAATTTTATTTTTTAAAATATAAATAATATTATGTCTATAAAAACTATTATATTTATAGTAATTTCGTATAGGTTCTTTTAATTTAGTTATTTTTAAAATTATTTGCTATGTAATTCAAAAAATACACTTGATCTTTATAGAACGCGCGATTTTGCTTTTACATAAATTATAAATTTGGGTGGATTATTCGTGTATAGCGCGAGGGCAGGCTCATTTTAATAGCCTGTATAATATTTAATTGAAAAATAAATTTAAAAATCTACTTACAAATCTACTATGAAATGTCTTAAATTGGTTTAATACTAAAAATCACGGTTGTTAGTTCTTTATTAAGAGATTAATATACACAATGAAATTTTAAAATGAAGAAAATATCAGGTCAATATTAACTTAACTGAACGGCACAAATGAAAGTAAAAATCAAAATTTTAGTATTTTATTAGCTGAACTTGCTGTCATAGGATACACTCAGACCAAATAGACCCTTTGTAATACCGTTTGATCTCCACATCCCCACCTTCACTTTAATCTGTTCGAGTCTTTTATAAACCGGTTTAAATTCCCGGCATCTGGATATATAAGGATCATGTGAACATTAATATTCTTTTTTGTTTAAAAATAACCTTTATTGCCCATATATTATTAATTTTTTTTTCTAATAAAATTTTTTTATTAATCATAAATTGATTTATAATTTATGCCTAAAATTATAGTATCTAACTTTTGGCGATAAACTTCACTGTCACTTTGTCGTTCACTTTTTAAAATAAACTGTATTAATATTTTATATATATATTATACCAATAAAATTTTATATGATTATATTTATTTGAAATAATAATTTTTGTTCAAAAAGAAAACATAAAATTCCGATTATCCCAGTATATTATAGAATTGAAATGAAATTAGGTGAATTTGTTATATATGTAATAAGGAACTAAATTCAAAATTACAAAGTAAAACAAAAGTTATTAAGAACTCTACATATTTAAATAATTAAATAAATAAATATATACTAATAGTAATATTAATAATAATAATAAATCATGAGCATCCATTTGGTATTTGAAATCCTTTAGTAGTTACGGAACTTGTTCCTACTACAAGGGAATGATAGTCCCGGACCGGGTGAAAGAAGTTAATGATTAAATAATTATTATATAGTATACAATAATAAATACGGATATACATCAAGTTATATATCTATAAATATACGTCATATATAATATATATTCATATATTTATATAAAATTATATGTATATAGTTTATTTATTACATAAATTTATACATATTTAATAATAGAAAAAGTTTAATAATATATATAGTACATACTTCGTAAGATATTTGTTCTAATTCATTAATACACCGTTATATATAAAAAATATTTATACTTGTGATATATATCGCATATATATTTGAAATATATATATATATATATATATACATGATAAGTACATCGTACATAACATATCTGTATATATATATATAATATGATATATATCGAAATGTAATACATTTATATATATATATCTATATATAGATATATCTATATATATACAAAAATATATACATACATATAATATAGAGTACTTTTTACATTTAGTTAAAAGAAAGTTTTTGGTAATAAAAGTAGCAGTCGATATATATATATATATATATACATAATTTTAAAAAAGTATATATATATATATTATATTATAAACCGTAGTTGTTATGATTTTCTAATTTGTATTAAAATTCTGAGGTTTTTATCGAAATAGTATATTAGTTATTTATTATTTATTTAATTAATTTAATTTTATTTTATTAATAATTATATAAATTAAAAATATATATAGAAAAAAAAATATATATATATATATGTATATATATTATTTCTTTGTTATTTTATTTATATTAAATAATTTTTTTCAATTATATATCTTTAGACTCGGATAGCAAATTTACTCGGAGTAGCTGGGATTGATGTTCCAATTAGAGATCTTAAGAAATTGTTAATGCCATTTATGGTAAGTTAAATATAATTATATCTATACAAACGTATGTTCGAAGGGTATTATAGATTTACCATTAGCACACATGTAATGGTTAACATTTGTTTTATATTATAGCTCGGACCAAATGGTTATGCATTTATTGTCACAAATAATGGATACATTTTAGTTCATCCAGATTTTCGTCCAATTGTGAGTAAAAATTATTATTTAAATATGTATGTACACTTTTAGAATTTCTTTTAAAGAAAATAATTTTTTTTTTGAATTTTTAAAACTTGCTTTTTTTAAATTCTTTCAGTTCCAAGGTGATATATTAAAGCCTTCTTATAATTCTGTCGATATGGTTGAAGTCGAATTAATGGATGATGGTAATGATCCTAGAGTATATAGTTCACATTTAATAGAGGTGAGAAATTTAGAAAAAAATTTGTATTCGGAAAAAAGAAAAAATATTAAAAAAAATGTTGTTTTAATTCTAATTACAAGATGAGAGATGCAATTGTTAATCAAACAACAGGAAGATTATGGCTCAAAACTAAGTATCATTTTGATGAAATGGTAATTAAAATTTCTTTTTCAATGATATTAGAGAAGAATAATATAAAATTTTATTTCATTTTATAATTTAAAAAACAAAACAGAGACGTGCCACTAAGAATAGTCGAAGATTATATTTTTGGACAAAAATTCCAAATACACCCTATACAGTGGTTGTAACATATCCTGAACAATATGGTTTATATAGAATTGATGTTCAGGGTGAAGAGGAAATTCATCGTGTTATAACAAAAGGATTATCAATATCAAGTTTTTTCAGTGGCTCAAATTGGAGAATTCATCCTGACTGGTAAAATAAAACAATTTTTTCTTCAAAATAAACAAAAAAAATACATAAAATTCATAAAATATTTTTTTTTCGGTTTTAGGATATATTGTAAACATAGAAATATGACATTTTCGACAAAAGAAAGCGAATTATTTTATTTTATGGAGAAAATGTCAGAGCCAGGATGGAAATGGCCACTGAGTCGAACGCCACACCCGCCCGAACATACATACAATTCAGCTGCCACGTATTGTAAGTTTTTCTTTTGTATTATTCTGTTTTTTTTTTTTTTGTTTTTTTCTTTACTTGTATACATGGGATATATGTACATGACCATACACATAAAATATGATTAAATATTGAACTTTTTTTATATACATATACAGTGGTGGTCATAGAAATAAAATCACCTGCTTTCATATTATATTCGACTACTAAATTTGTTTTCAGTTACAATTAGGCATTATTGTTGTTCGTAAACAGTAAGAGCATATTGCGTTATCAAAAATATTTTCGGAGAAAAAGGGTGTTCGCATTTTATCTGATGAATATAAGCATTATTTTATGATATAAAGCCAATATTTTAAGTTCTCAATATAATTTTGTATTATAAGTTTAATGTAAAATAACCATTAGGAATGGCCAATCTATTAATTGTGCATCAGAAGAGAGAATAAACGCATTAACGTTCCAAAATTAAGGTAAATCTCAACAAGATAATAAATATTATTTTGGGAGCAATAATAATGACTAATTATAATTGAAAACAAGTGTAGTGGTCGAATATAATATAAAGGCATGCGAGGCATATGAAGGCTTCTATGCCCGCCACTGTATTTTATATTTTTGATTTTTTTCAAATGATGCTTATTAAAAAAATTTTTTAATGTTGGATAGTTTGCTTTTAATTTTTATAAAAAAATTTTTAATGTTTGTTTTGAAAATTTTGGTTTAATTTTTATTTATTTTTTTTTCTGTTGTTTTGATTATTTTTTATTATTTTAATTTTAATAAGTCAGAAAATTAGAAATTTAATTTAATTATATATTTTCAATATCAAAATATGAATTTATCTATTGTTATATAAGAGTACATAAACTATGTTTTTTTTCTAAAATTTATATTGTAATTAATATTCAAAATCAGAATGTTATCATTAAGATTAAATGGTTTAAACTTTTTCAAAAAAAAAATTATCTGTCCAATTATAAATTCAATTCGTAGAATTCCTACGGATTACACGCTTAGCTATGACGTAGATTTTTTGAATGATCACAATTCGTGGAGACTATAATCAAACAAATTTCATTCGTAGAGACTATGAATCAGCAATGACAGTACTCATTATTCGGAGTTTCAAAATTAGTATTTTATTTAAGCTGTCAAGAGTTTATTTACAATAAATTTTTTGTTGCTATTATTGAGTGAACAACTTACAAAAGGAATTGTTTTAGTTTTTTAATATTTTTGAAGAGTGGAAGAAACATTTTTTTTTAGTAAATATGAGTTTATTTCTCTTTATGTGAAACTCTGTTAGAAAAAGGAGAAACCAGAGAAAACTCAAAATTTAAAATTACAATTCTCTTTAAATTGCTTGTTACGTGTTGTGTAATTATTTGGTTCGTAGACTTTTTAGCATTTATTTTTGCTCAGAACGTAATTTATGATAAATTCGTATAATAGAGTATTACGAATATTACGGGACAGAACTTTAGTTATTCGCAATTGACAATATGACATTCGTAATTTTTCAAATTTAAAGCTACGAACGAAATTTTTAATATTTTTATAATTAAAACAAATTTTTAACAAAATTTATACAAAAATGAAAAAGAAAATTTGTCTTATAAAAGAAGGATATACATTCTGTCATTTGAATATTTTTACTATACATATATACACAATATTTAAATTAAATGAAAAATTATTATTGATCATAATTACAAAATTAAATAATTAAAAAGTATTATAGATTGAGTGAATGAAAAAAATTTATATTTAAATAAAATTGCATTGCTTATACATTATTTGCTATATTATACTATATAATATTTAATCAAAACTTAATTAATTATTTAAAAGAAAAAATAAATTAATAAATATACATATAATAATAAACATTATATTTCAATTATATCTCAATCATTTATTTCTCATTACAAAATCAATTAACATTGCTTCATCAAAAATTAAAATGTTAGAGAGCTAAAAAATGTACAAAAAATTAACAAAAATTTACAATTATTACTAATTAACTGAAACATTCTGAATTATATTATCATATTGTAATTGAAAATATTTTATTGTTTTATTAAATTTCGATTTTCAACTTCATTCTTATATATATATATATACATATATGCATTACTATAATATTATTATATAAATGTATATATATATTTAATTTTTTCATTTTAATATAATTTATGTTAAATACTAAATATCTTTCGTTTTATATACTCTATTCTATATTATTTTTCTATTTTCTATATTATACATTATTTAGGTATATTGACTATCATATAAAATATTATAATCACTCATATTCTCTTAGACGTATATCATTATTTGAGGTAATGGTGAAATATTATTAAAAAATTTTGTGATTTGCAGAATAGAATAAATTGCAATTTTAAAAGAAAACTTTAATGCTTTTGAATATTATCCCATTAGTTCATTTGATGTGTCTAACAGAGTATGCGATAATATTTAAGATAATTGAACTTAAATACTGTTTTGTTTTTGTCGACCGCATTGCATTCAATATTGTTACGTGATGCCACCAAATTACACGTACCGATCTTTGTGCGGAAATATATTTCTCTGTGCTAAATTACCGTAAATAAATTGTTTTTTAGAGAGGATGTCTGTCGATTTATTTGTCTTTCTGTCTGTGCAGATCAGTATGCCAAAATCGGCTGAACCGATTTTTTCGAAATAAGACGGTTTAATCAAATTTTTTGATTTGTCATGTCTGTAGAACTAGATGGCTGCTACGAACCGATTTTACTTTGTCGACTAATTTGTAAAAAAAATTTAACGTATTTCTCTGAAGTCATTGAACCTTTTTGAGAAAATCAGGTGTCAGTAATAATATACAAAAAAATAATCAACCAACTTAGTTGAAATTTCATATTTAAAATCTGCTTATTGACATTTATTGGACCGATAAATTTTTCAGGGATATAAGGGCTCGGAAATAGAATTTTCAGATTTTTTCCCATAAAATAAAATTTTAATTACAAAATTACAAATTTAATAAAAAAAAATTAAATAATTCAAATAATTAACGAAAATATTTAAATATTTACATTCCGAAAAGAAAATTCAAATATTTTTAAATTTAATTCTTGTTGACAATATTTTACTTTTTATCAAAAGAAAATAGATGTACTCGTATGTGTGCAGTTGCATGCTATTTGAATTTGTTTTATACTCTCTCTTTCTAAATGTTTAGAACGACGCGACAAAATATTAAAAATGAATTTTATTTTTAAATGTAAAAGATTTACTTACTATTAGCATTCATAAAATTTTATTTTATTTAAAAATTAAATTTATCTGAAAAAAAAATAATAAAAAACAAAAACAAATTAATGTAGAATCTTGTTTAAATTAAATAACATTTTTTTTTGTAATAAATTTAATAATGTTGTGATATTTTTTGTGTTGTTTAATTCAAAACGAAAGATATATACTTTATACCTAAATATTATATAATATTTTTAATTAATATTCACTCATATTCTGTTGGTCACTTCGCACTCAACTAGATGGGTTATTATTTAAAAATCATGTAATTTTCTGAATAAAATCAATTTCTTTTATACAGAAAAACAAAATTTCGTTCAATAATGTCTCATCACCCTCAAGTGTCGAGACTAAGAAAATATGGGTGGATTATCTCACAATAAATTATGTATATTGAATAGTGTACTAACAATTTTTAATAATAATATTCTTAATGTATATATATATATATACATTATATATATATATATACATTAAGAATATATACATATACATTATATATATTTATATATATATATATATATTTATATATATATATATATATATATAAATATATATACATATATAGAGGTAATTTATATATGTATATACATAATTTATATATGTATATAAATAAATACATATATATATATATATATATATATATATATATATCATATATATCAAACATTCATATTATGTATTTAAAGACATTATACGAATATCTTATGTATATATATATATATATGAAATATTCATATTAAGTACTTCAAAGATATTATTTTTATACAAACATATTTGATTTTAAAAAATTATATGTATATATATATATATATATATATATATATATATCTATTTGACTTTTTTTTCTTGTGTTTCGTTTTTAATATTAATTATTCGTTATAATTTCATTATATATATATATAAAAACAAAAAATACCAAAAATTGGCAAATCCACAGTTAACGTTAAATCAAATTCAAATTCGGGCCATCCTCCAACATCCACGGCTTACAAGGAAAGTTATACACCTTATTTCTGTGAGTAACAAATAAAATAATGAAAGAAAGAAAAAAAAAAAACAAGAATTTTTTGAAATTTAATGTTAATAAATAATTAAATTTCAATATTGAAATTTATTTTTGTTTTTTTTTTTTTTTTTTTTTGAATTCATTTGAATTGAAATTCTAAATAAAATATTTGCACAAAATATATAAGTATGTGAAATTATTAAAATATGTTTATATATACGTATATATTTATATATATATATATGTATCTTATATAGAGTTTCTCACACCTCTTAATTTTAAAAAATTAAATAAAAAAAAAATCAAAAATTTATGTTAATCCTTTATATTATATATATATAGAATTCTTAAAGTTTTACACATACACCAAAAATAAAATAAAGTTATTTATTATATTATATATATATATATATATATATATATATATATATCTGCACTTATTTTTTTATATAATAATTAAATAAATTATATATATGGTAAAATAATAAAAACCCTTTTTTATATGCGAATAAATATATGTATATGTATATATATAAGAAAATATTACATATATATGTATGTATATGATGTATAAATAATTTAAAATTCCATTGTTTTATAAAAATTAATAAATTTTAATATTTTATTAAAAAATTAGTTGATTTCTATTATAATGTTATTTTATGAATATTAATTAATTGTATATGTATAATAATATATTTGACATTTAAAACAAATTTAAAATAAATTTCAATATACGTTGCCAATGCATTTCAAAATCATTTTACTTTTATTTTATTCGCATTGTACAATTAAGCAATTGACAAATTAAAAAATTATCTAGATATATATTGTTATATTAGTAATTTAAGTTGATAACAGAACAACTCAATGCCAAAATTCATGTAGAATATAAATATTAAAATGATACTGCTTAGTATCTGCTTAAACCGCCATGAAATAGCCTAAATTCCTATTTTGCCGCTGGTGATTTTTTTTTTTTGACATCAACTTTTTCCATATTTGTGTGACATTATATGCAAAATTTTGGAACATTTAATTTTGCTGTTCCGCTTTTGTTCTAGGTTAACAAGGAAAATCATTGACTATTGCCGTTCGCCACTCTGTTTTCGTAATTCTATTTTTACAATTTTTATATTTTCTATATATACTACTATTTTTATATTTTCTATATATACAACATGTTATCGATTTTGAAATTTTAATTAATTTTTCAAAAATTGAAATATGAAATACATGCATGTATGTATACAATATTTTATGTGATATGATAAATTTAAAAGTAATTATATCATATCACTTATATATTGTATATATATATATATATATAATCTAATGAAAGCAAAAATTATAGCGACCCTTCTTCTCAATATTTTAATAAACTTAATAAAACTTCTGTTATACATATATATGTAATTCCATATAATATATATACATATATACATATATATATATATACATAAATTGATCCCTAATTATATAATATTAATCAAAATTTTGTACAAAATATTATATTATTTATATATTTAATAAAATTCTATATAAAAGATTTCAATTTTATATATATACATACTCTTATAAAATTAAAATTTATAAATTATTTAAAAGAAAACCAAAAACAAAAACGTTATTATAAAAAATTAAATAAATAAAAAAAAAATAATAATTAAATGAATAATTAATTACATATTAATTAGATTATTAATTAACTATTATTATAAATATATATTAAATTATATATAATATATATATATATAAAAAATTAAAAAAGCCAGACGTATTTTAGAATACGTTAGCTGAGGAATTGCACTCTGTATATCAAAAATCATCATTTTATATAATATTAAATTAATTATTCTTTTATTTTTTTTGTATAATTATATTAACAGCATGAAATTATTATTAATATTTTTTATACATACGAGTATATATATAGTATAATAGTTTTTTTAGTATTAATAGCACAAATTTTATAGTTTAAATTTTATAAATATTTTAGTTTTAGTTTTAGTATATATATACAAATATTAATTGCTGTATCTCATCTCTATATTTAAATATATATTTAGAAAATTTATTTCTCATCATTTATGTATTTATTTATTTAATTATAATTTTAATAAAATATATTATTTAAAATTGATAAATTACATATTATAAAAAAAAAAACAAATATTTTCTATTTTATTTTTTAAATCAATTTTTTTTCTTTTAGGTGATCGTGATCTTGTTCAGGCATTGGCGTTCGATGCTAGAGTTACTGAATGGTTCTCAAAAAATATTAGTAATAAGGATAATAAAGATGATAAAGGGTAAAAATACAATAATTCTTTTATATTTAAAAATTAAAAAAATTAATTAATTTATGTTTCGATTAAGTTTTGATTTTAATTTTAATATTTGATTATTGTTTTTGTTGCTATACGAATACTAATTAATACAATTATATATTGTAAAATATGTTTGTTATAATTTTGTATTTCAAAAGGGTTATTATGGTTTGCGGAATGAATAAGTACTTGACGTGAATCATTTTTTCGAATTTTCGCTAAAATGATATTATGGTTCACGAATAATTAAATTCTCTAGGAAAAAAATCGTTGCTATTGAAAGGAAATCCCTTATATACCGATGGTATATAAGGGATCAGTTAAATCCATCGGGAGTCCCAGACCGTTAAATTCTATAGCATGGTTAACCGACATTTCCTGTAATATATTTTTATTAAATCCGATTTTAATTTCAATACGGGCTACATTCGGATTTCGATTTCCAGTAGCTCTATTCATTTTCTGAACCACTCCAGATTTCTTTTTTTTTTTTTAACCTTAAAATAATATAAACCATCAACTTATAGCAACAATAAAGTTTTGAAATTTAATTCTAGTCCATTAAATATATAAATGCTCAGTTCAGAACGCGAATTGAGTTTAGATTTGACATTTCTCTCGAAAAAATTTTATTCGCCCCGCGAATCATTGTATTATTTAGGCGAATCTGAGAACAATGACATTCACGAATCGTTATATAACCCTAATAATAACTTATTTTTAATTATTTATAATTATTTTTTATTTTTTATGTTTTAAGAAAATTTCTAAAGCTTGCTATTTGTATATATAAATACTTACCTTAAATGTAAAGAAAGTAATTTTTAATATGCACTATAAATTATTATAGCTATAAATTTTGAATGTTTCACAGAATATGCAAATATATTGAAATTAAAAATTAAAAAGCACAATAGATATAAGAGAAATACAAAATAGCTATTGTTTATTATATTTAGTCTGGTATCAAATTTTGGCGAACAGAAAAAGAATTTAAGTTATTTAAACAAAATGTACAAAAAAAAATTTAACAATCCTTCTCTTGAGTTTTTTTTATATAATATGATTTTGATTTTTTGTTTTTATTTAATAATAGTTTATTTTAATTGTGAATGCATATTAAAAATATTAATATTGAAAGATGCTCTCTTTTTAAGCACTTTTCCAAAAAAAAAAATTTTTAAAAAATGTGCTCATTAATTTCAATTTTCGTTAGTCTGGCTGTTCAACAGTTGATTCGTTCGTCCGTCCGTAGATTTGTTTATACAATTTCTGTACTCTTTAATTTTACATGTGAACAGATCATTACTAGAAACTTATTTACGTAGAAAAAATTTTTTATTTAACCTCCACCACTAAGAGCTATAGTCGCTCAAAATCCTAAAAATGCAATTTTTCGGCTATTTAACATTTAATATTTTTTTAATTCTGCAAATGCAGAAGAGTAGTAGATGGATTTTTATGCGGAATAGCAGAGTTGAGAAGGGAAATGACAAATAGGCTATTAAAATTAATCATAACGGTTAATTAGACCGTAAGTTGTAGGGATTTTGAAATTTTAAAATTTGTAATAATTTGCAATTCAGAAAATGTTTCCATTAAAAGCTGATGATAAATGCTATTCCATCACATCAAAAAATATAATTATTTATTTTAATTCATGCAATTAACCCCGCAATTATTATATTAATGCATGTTTTTTTTTTTGTATCATCCTAAGTGTATGCAATATTTGAAATATTTTTGTATATGAATGAAAGCAAACTAAGTAATATAATAGATTGCTTTTAATAGTAATATTTTTACTTGTTTAAGGAAAAAATACTATTTAATATTATTAAAATTTGAATTCCATGGTATTAATGCAATCATAATGCGTCTTTAATGCAATTCAAAAATGTCCAAATTTTTTCTATAATGCATTCACCATTGAAATTTTATAATAAAATTGATTTTACATTATTTATAAATAATTTATTCCTTATCCTTGTATTTTATTTTAGATTCAGAGCAATTTAATAATAATTTGTACAAAACAATTTTTAGTTCAATATTCTAAATTTAATTTAATTATCTACAGTTTGTTGGAACTTATAGTTTTTTTGTGTTAAAAATTAAAAAAAATTTAGTTAATAATTTCCAGTCAGAAATAATGTTACCGTCAAAATTTTTTTTAAATGTGTAAAAAAAATTTAATTTTAAAATAAAAAATATCGACAGGACACTTAAGTACATTGTAGTCAAATTATATACCCCATATTTAAATAATAAAATCAAAGAAATTTTAAATGGATGTTGGCTTATACATGTTAGTTATACAATTGTTTTTACAATTCAAATTACAAAAAAATCAAAAAAGGACAAAAATCTTTTAAAATTTAATCCTGTATTTTTTAATTTTTATTCATAATTTTTAATATTTTTCTTTAGTTTTCCTTGTTTTTTTTTATTTTGTCTTTTTTTTTTTGTTAATTTTCTCTTTCATCTTTTTCAAAAACAAAATGATTTTATTTTTAAATCAACGCAGCAAAAAAGGATACATATAATTTAATTTTTCATAAATATATTAAAAAAAAAATCCTTATTTTTTTTTTTTAAATTAAAATTTTTAAACTTTCCATTATAATGGAACAGCCCAATCGCAGTATTAATGGGTTTACTGCCAAGGTAAATTTTATACAAAAATTTCATGCGAATATCGTCCGTCGTCTTTATTGGAGACAAATTTTATTGGAATTTATTCTATACAATATAAAAACTAAATTAGAATTTTTATGAACTTAATACTCATGAATTTAAGAAAAAATTTAAAGAAAGAAAAAAGTGAAACTTATAAAATATGTAGGGATTAATTTAATTTAAAAAAAAAAAAGTTTTCAGGTTTAAAATTTGTAATTTAAAATGAACTTGTATTTTACGAGTATAATAAAAAACAATAATTTAAATATAATAAGGGCTTTAATTTTTAAGAGTAGAATAGGTAGCTAGGTTTTCAAATTTATCACAGAATAGAAAGAGATCTCTATTCATAATTGCTACATTCTTTGATGAAAAATTTGCTTAGATATATTATTAATTTTGTACAATTAAATGCATTTTTTTAATTAGATCAAAAATTTTTTAATTTTTTAATAAATATTAATTATCATTCTAATTACATAGGGTTGAATTATCTCATTACATGATTACATAGGGTTTAGAATTTGCTAAAATATGTAGTAATTCTTACTACATATAATACACTATATATACAAGCTATATAATATAAATAGCATATTAAATAATATAATTAATTTGAGAGAAATATTGCAGTTTACTTCGTTAGCAAGAGAAATACTATTAAATCGAAGAGAGTAACTGCTGTATATATAGTGATTTTATGCATGACATTAATTGGTTTCATTGAAATTACTGACATTCAATCAATTAATAACAATTTAAAATAAAAATCGCTAAAATTTAGGCTAAAATTATTTTTTCATCTTAAAATGTTTTCATTAAATATTTAAGTAATAAAACATGTATTCATAAAAATCTATCATATTATATAGGACTTAGTCCTGGGATGATTGACTAAATTCTGAAATGAAATTGATTACTTTAACAATAAAATAGAATTCAAGATCAATTTAGAAATCAATAGAAAACAATAGAATTTATAAAATAATTAAATAACTAAAAAAAATATTATGTAAATAAAATTCTTAAAAATTTAAAATTTTTGAAATTTTAATTAATATACAAAACTGGTAGGCTTTGCACATTCATATCACGGCTGCTTGAAATTTTTTTTTCCACAAATTAAAAAAAAAAAGAAAATTAATACACGGAGTTCTTTTAGTTTTGTTGAAAATGAAAAACACACAAGACAAAAAAAAATTAATAATATTTAAGAAAAAAAAAAATTAATTTCTATATAAAAAATTCAATAAAATTATTTTAATTTTTTATAATGCTGCCATTATAACAAAAATATAGAAACGAATTCAAGGAACGTTTCGGAATAACTGTAGCTTTCTTGGCAACGCAAAGCGGTTTAACACGTTGGCAGGATTTTTATACAAATAATAATAGCGAATATAGACAAGAGTAAGTTATAATAAAGTATATTGTATGGTTAACTGTTATATAAATTCTAAATAAATTTTTTTTTTTTGTTTTAGCTACGATAGCCATTTTAAAGAAATAAAAGCGATAGATGAAATTTGGTATAAAAGAGCTGTAGAACAACATTTTATAGAACCTCAAAGTTTTGTATTTTCGGTACCATTTAATGCCGGAGGTAGTGTTTTTTTTTATTAAAGTTGTAAAATTTTTTATACAAGTACTATACATGTAATATGTGAATATAAATAATTAATTTTAATGGCAATTAGTGTATTAGGGATTTACCTAAATGGGTGCATAACGTGTGGTATTTGCGTCAAAATGTTCTTATATCTGTACATTTTGAATCAAGCAACTTAAATGAACTACACGCCTGAGCAACTGAGTATTTAAAGCGCAGAACTTAAAATTTAACAATATAAACTTCTTTTGGAAAATAATTTTAAATTTTAGAAATTGCAAGACTAAATGCGCGGTGTGTTCAATTCTTGCGTATATGCAAACCTACGTATTCTACGTAAAATGCGCTACGCATTTATTTAGGTAGATACCTTAAGATATAAACATGAATAAGGTGGAATCAATAAAATTATTTACATATTACTTTTATTTTTTTTACAATAAAATTTTTATTTGCTCCCTATTTCTATTTTTATTTATATATTTAGAAAATCCAAATGAAGCTTTAGTAACTGCCAGTCATGCAATATTTCATTCAAATGGTAAAGAGTCAGCTCCAGCTGCCGTTGTTGGTTTCCAATTTGAGCATTCAAAATTAAATTCATTATTTAGAAATATAACAAGTAGTGTAAGTAAAATATTATTAAAAAATTAAAACAAAAAAAATTTTTAACTTAACTGGAAAACTTTACATTTTTTTTTAGTGTGCTGATTGTACAGCGACGTGCGATTCAGATGGTATCAACTGCTTTATATTAGATAATAATGGTTATATAATTATTTCACCAAATCCATCGGATATTGGGAAATTTTTTGGTGAAGTTAATGGGCAATTAATGCTTCGTTTAGTACAAGATCGTGTTTATGAAGAAGTTGTAATATATGATTATCAAGCAATTTGTTTCAGAGAAACAAATTCTGATAATGGATCCAATTATTTATACTCGGTAAGTGTAAAAAAATTATTTTTTGATAAACAATATATTTGTTTGTCGATCGCATTGCATAGAATAAGCGAGGTTAATGTGATGGAATTTTCGAATTTTTGATGAAAATTCGTTTCTCCATTCGTAGGGAAGTGTAAATAAATTTTTTAAGTTCAGCTGATTTTTATGAAAATTTTCACGTCAACGAGTTCCTTTTTATGATGGGTCGCCTTGAACAACTTAAAAAGGTTTTAGAGAATATTATGTAACACTTTAACAATGCGGTCGATCATTTTGCTGCTCACATTAAATTTTTTTTTTTTTTATATTAAAATATTTTATTAATTATTTGTATATTTTATAATTTTAGCCTTTAGTTCACATTATACGATTATCAAAATTGATTATTAAATGGATATTTTGGTATCTTGCACAATTTCAATTAGTCTCATCGGAAATGTATTATACAGATGATAATACAACTGATTATGGTTTAAATATTAAAGAAATGTTAGCACGTGTTACATTAAGAAGAACACGTTTAATGGGATGTGATCAAAAACGTGTATTATATACATTAAATACAAATAAAGATAATGTAGCATTTCAAATACCAGCATCTGGATGCGAAAGACAATTTGTTGTTTATCCAATACCTGGTACTAATTTAATATTATTAGTTGTTGATGTATTATGCCCGCCGGAATGGGCAATATTAACTACAAATCCTACAGAAATACAATATGATACAAATTATAGTTTAGCATGTCATAAAACAAGTGCAGAGCTAACTAGATCGAGACCAACTAGTTGTATTAATAAACATATAAACGTAAGTTTTATTTTTTAAATTAATATTACTGTTATTAAAGAATAATATTCAGATGACTATTATTTAAATTTTATGGAAATTAATTTTGTTTTTACCTATATTAAAATATTTTGCTTTAATAACCTGCACCTTCGGGATGGGTATTTTAACTTTGTTGTAAAGTTTGTAATAATTTTAATCACCCGCCGGCGCTGTGAATATGTATATATATATTGTTCTTCAGTGCGTCCGTCTCAATACGTTCAATCTTTCATTCATCTAATATATATTCTTCTTCAGTCCGTCAGTTCATTCAATCAAACTCAAAAATAAATAAAGCAAACAAATTTGTATAAGATTTTCACAAATTGTTTCTTTTCTGCAAAGGACGGACCCTATTGCAATTGAACCAATTCGGACCACGTGTTCGTATAGCTGTCATACAACATATACTGAAAATTTGAATGGAATGGCTGCACTAATTCGGTTAGCTGCCATATAGCCCTAAGATTTGATATAATATAATCTATATTTTAGAGATTCAGGGTATAATTCAGTCGTTTCAAACCGTTTGAAATTTTTTATCATAACGACCCAAATCATAAATTTTGAATTATTAAGTTTCTTAAAAAAAATTTACGAAAACTAAATCATTAATTCCAATATAACAATTCTTACAAAAATTTCAAAAAATTTGTGATATGAGTGAATATTATTGCACATACTCGTATAATTATTAAATTTTACCGAATCTTTTATTCTATAAATTGAAGACACAAGTGAATGAAGTTGTCATCTACAATTTTTACGGAAATGGATTTATTGCATAAATAGAAGTTTTATATGTTTACATTTCATATGCAAAAACCCGTTTTTCAAAAACTGATTCAGTTTAAGAGATAGCTTATTTTTAAAAGGTGTTATGTCACATTTTGGAATTATTTTGGTTCGAAAGAATGTCAATTTACTCGAGATTTGTAGAATTAAAAAAACTGTAGTTGACACCTTCATTCACTCGTGTCTTCAATTATTATTTACATAAATATTTAAATAATTTCTTAATTTATATTTTTTATATATATATAATAGGAAAGTTCAATAGAATTTTGTGGAGATGCGACAAGTTTACTGGTTAATCGAATTTTAGTAATACTAGCTTTAATTCTATTTAAATTTCTTTAACAATTTTTACCAATTTTTATTTTTTAATTTGTAAAACAATTTTAAATAAATATATAAATAAAATAAAATATAAAATATATAAAAAAAACTGAAATGAAACAATCTGGAAACATACTTAGATAGCTTTTGTATATTTCACAACTAAATATTTATACCTTAAACGTATATTATGATAAAAAAAATTAATTAATAAATTAAAATAAAATTAAAAAAAAAAATTAATTAATTGAAAAAGAAAAATAGGAAATTATATTAAAATTCTTTTGGATAAGTTTCAGATAAATTTCACTTTGTATACACATTGCGTATAATAAAATTTAAAAAAAAATTAAACAAGCAAAATAAACAATGAAATTTTAAAAACAGTTGTACCATACATTCAAGAGAACGAACAAAATAAAAATTCATACACAGTAATACTGTAATATACAAAACATAATACAAAAACCATATAAACGATTAACAAAACAAACACAAAACAGTAACATCAACAAAAAACAAGAACATTAGCAAAAAACAGAAATTGAAAACAACAAAAAATATTCATTAAAAATAAAAACACAAAAACAAACAAAAAAAAAAATTGTAAAAAATTCTTTATTCTTAACTGCCTTTAATATTAGTTTTTAAATATTAAAAAAATAAATAAGAAGAAAACGGAAAAGTTAATAAATTAAAAAGGAGAAAAAAAAATTTACAAAAATGCGGTCAGAAAAAGACTGACACTTTACATTTTTAGGATAAAAAATAAAACCATTAAAAAACAAATAAGAAAAAAAATTCAAAAAAAAAAAAGGAATAAAGAAAAAAAAAATTTCAATTCAAAAATTAAAAAAAAAAATAATAAATGAAAAGGAGTAAAAAATTAAAAAGAGAATCCTTTTCTAAAAAAAAAAAACAAAACTGAATAAAAAATTTAATAAAATAAAAATACCGTAATTGTTCTTAAATTAATAAATAAAGTCATTAAATAAAATTAATAATTATTGATAAAATAAAGGTTTCCTCCAAAAATTTACCATAATTGTTTGACATTTATCTGTCAAAATGAAGAATACGTAAAATTTTAATCAACTATTCATAGCAAAAAAAAAATGTTGATGCTGGCAGTTTAATAAAGTATCAGTTAAAGTACCTACTTTTAGAAAATTTATTTACTCTTTTATTTTTTGAGTTTTAAAACTTAAATTTTTAAGTATTTTTAATAATTAAAAAAATGAATTCTTGTTAAAATTAAAAACAAAATATTTCGTTCAAAAAAAATATTCAATATAGTCGTCATTGTATTCGCATCAAAATCGTTTGAAAATTAAGAAAGTATCACAGTTTTGCTGTGGTGCAGCGTCACTGTAGCATAGTTAAGAAAAATCCATCTCTATTTTCGAAAATGATCGTTTATAATTTTACTATTTTGTATTATACTTTGATCAATCAAACGTTTAGTTACGTCGCTGACACAATAACAAAATTTATTATGTCACGCCATCTCAAATATGCTTTTCTGGCAAACGGGTTTTATGTGAAAAATGTTTTATGTTTGGCAGCGTTAACAGTTGACAGAATGTCACAAAAAATTTGAAAATAGAGTGACGTGGTAAAAATATTTTGATTATGTACTTGTAAACAAAAACAAAGATTTTAACAACATTTTAAAAAAATTTTGCATTATATTTAAATATTAAAATAAAAATGTAATTTGTTTTTTATTTTCAAAAATTTTACTTGAGAAATTTGAAAGCAACTTATAATACTTGTTTTAGTAATTCCTAAAAATATTTGTAAATCACGGGATAATTTTCCATTGATTTTATTAATAGTTCAAATTGCTTTGTATAATTGCTGTTCTTTTTCTAATGTAAAATAAGAACACCCCTAATATTAATTCAAACATTAAAAAAGTAAAATTTTTCAGAATAAAATTAATTAAATAACTTTTATAACTGTTAACGGTGCCGATTTCTTCATTTTATTTATACATAAATTTTTAACATTTACCATCATGTTAAAGGTGGTACCATTTCAACTCTCCGTCTACGACTACTTACTATAGAAAAATACATAGACGTGATAAAATTACTTCATGTGATATTTGCATTCGATACAATTTCTAGAATATGAGTGATATTATGATTGCATATTTTCAGGCTTCAAATAAGATGAATACACAATTTCACTATTTTTTTCCAAAATATCTAAATTCTTGCAATATAAGTATTGTCACAATAATATTGAGTATATAGGAAACCTTATATAATATAAACATCAATAATTATTAATAATTATAAAATAGTCTTCAGCAATATTTTTACTAAAGACTTTATTCTCTTTTTCATCATCATTTTTAATAAAATTAAAGTATAAGTCGATCGACATACATACATAATTGTTCTTTAATTCTGACCTATACAAAATAATTATTCTCCATCATTAATCTTAATAAAAACAAAAATGTATAAAAGAAAATCATTAATACTCGTATAAAACAAACAAATTAAATGACATAAAGAAAAAATACAAAAAAAAATTAATAAATAAAATGTTAATATTAGTGCCAAAATTTTATTTCTTCTGCTGGTTAAAAAAATTTTTTTGGGAAAAACACACATACATCATACATACACCTATATAAAACAAGAATTAAATAAATCAAAATATAAAAATAAAAATCTATAAAACACCGTACAAACGCACCTATAATTTTTATTTTTTTCTTAATTTTCTAATTTATAAATATAATTTAAAAAAAAATTCAAAATACCAAAAGTTTAAAATTTCCTTGTGCAGCACAATTTAAATTTTTAGTTGAAAATTAATAATACTATAAAATTAGGAGAATTATTGGGTCCTGTTATCATTCACATTCAAAAATGAACTGTCAAAAATAGTTGCCGTTGTGCATTGTAATTTAATATAGAAAAAAGTTCGACGTCATAATTAAAAACAGATTGAATTACCGAAGCCTTTATTGTTTACCTATTTTTTCTTTGATGAACTAAAGCTTTTGTCTTTCACTCATTTTTTCTTTCATTCAATTTTATTACTAAAAATTATGACAATGATGATGACAAGAGTGAAATTGTATCGTGAAGATCAATTTTTTAATCTAGTCATTCTAAAATTTTTATTTAATAAATTAATTTAAATTTAATATAATAATTTTAGCTTGGCTTAATTCATTTTGAAATTATTGAAATGAATTCGAAACAAAGCAATTAATAATAAAAGAAACAAACATATTTACTACTATCTTTGACATTTTAAATTAATTTGACAATTTTCCTAAAATGGCAACTGAAAATTATTAAATTGACTAACACATTCAGTAGAACAAATTTCAATATCAAGTAAAGTAAATTGAACAAAATTGGACTATTATTTCTGAATGTTAAAAATTATTTGAAGGATCATTATGATTTTCGTTGTGGACCTGCGGCACTTGCCGCGTGAACCAACCAACCAACCAACAATGATATTCGTTATTATGAATTTTATATTACAACTAACTAATATAATTATTTAAATTAATTTATAATATAAACTTTTGGTATGGAGATCTTCTAAAAGTCTAGTACATTTTAAAATAAATACAATAAATTATTGAAAAATAATTTGTTTTTTTAATTCAAATGATTTTGTATATCATTATATTATTAATCATTTTACATTCTATTGAATTATTTTACAATTAATTTATAACATTTAATAATATTTTAATATTCTTAATAAAAAGAGTAATACATTTAAAATCAGTTTTTCTCAAATTTTTGTAATAAAGCCTATATAATATTATAGTGGTTTCTTCTCACATTGCATAATATCGAAATTACAATAATTATATCGAAAATAAAATATTTTTTAAAATTATCGAATATAAAATAATTATATCGAAATTGATGTAGTATAACAGAAATTTCATTGTCAGTGTTAGTAATTTCATATAAACTTAATATAAACTTTATAATATGAATTTTTTCAAATTTTGAAATATCTTATATATTATTATAATTATACATACATATATATAATGTAAAAATATAAAACGACAAAAAAAAAGCATTTTAAATTTTTGTATTACAATTTTATTCTATGCATGCAATATGGAATTATTTATTATATATATATACAATAAAATTAATTATTGTACTACAAAGCCTTCCCGCCGTATATTTTTCTTTTTTTATTTTATAATCAATTTATTATTAATGAATTTCATACAAAAATAAAATATTAAGAATATTTCTACATAAATTTTAATTAAAATAATATAATTGCAAATTAATCGGTTATGCAGTTGAATGATTGAAAATCGTCATACACAATGCGTATAATAAAAAAAAATGAAATTTATGTCGTTAGATTTGAAGATCAAGTTACTAGAGCACATGTAAACAAAAATTTACAATCAGAGAATTTAACTGCAATTTACACTTTACGATAAACTCTCGTACTATTTCTCAATTTTACGCCAAGAAAGTCTACAGTGTATAACAATAATGTATTCAGTGTATAACAGAATGTCTTGAGTGTATACAGATAAAATCTAACTGCAATTTTGAGGTTATAAAAAAAATTTTGATTTTTTTAGTATCATTTTGATATTTAAATTGCAAGTTTTGACAATTATTTTATCTGACATATTATGTTTAATAGTTTTCGAAATATGTTGTGATAAAGTATAAGTACAAATTAATCAAATATAATTATTAATTATTTATTAATTTTTGTGGTTTTCAGAATTTAGTGTACTTTTGTTATAATTCAATAAAATTAATCGAATATAATTAAACTGTTATATATTATGTATGTAGAAACTTCAGCTAAATTATTAGAATTTTGTTTTTGTTTTTGCTAAAAATATCATTAATTTGCATTTAATAATCATTCTATAAAATACTCGTTCACAATAGTTATTAAGTCAGTCATTTCAATTATAATTACAGTAATATAAAAATGAATTAAAATTACAGCTATATGAAAAAAATTTCTGAAAATTTTGTGAATAATGACAATATTTACGACCGTCATAATTCAAATTTAATACAATATTTATTCATACAAACAAAACATAATAATAATAATATATTTAAGTAATTTAATATATTCATTCAAAACTTAAATATAGTTTTAAATATAAAAGTTAAATACAAAATAATCTCTATAGGTGACTGATTTCAAAAATAAAAAAGATTCTTTAAAATTTACTTGAAAATTCGTATTACAAAAACAAAAAATTCAAAACGACCAACACAATTTCATTTACAATATTATATAATTTTGTCTTATATGTATATATATACATACATATAAAATTTTAAAAATTTATAATAATTATATATATATAAATAAAGTAAATAATAATACGATAAATAATTGAAAATTTAGAGGTACAAAAAAAAAAATAATAAATTGATTTTTATTAAATATTTCTTGTAGATTTTAAATAATATA